ACTGTTTCTGCAGCTGATGCAGGTGATGACTACCGTCTGCGGCACCTTCGACTCAGCGTGCTTGTTTCCTATCAAGAATGCCAACATGAATCACGTGTGCCCCGCGTTCATATGCCCTTGGGATCGCAACCCGCCACTGGACATGACAGCGCTGCTGGCAGAGCGATCGTCTCATCCTCTGGCAACCTTGGTCACACCAGGATGGATACTACTTAAGCAGGCACCTCAACCTGCCACTCCGGGATCTGGCGCCGCCATGGACGCCAGGCATTTACGCCTACTGTTTCTGCAGGTTGGTTATTCCTATCGTTGTGTATATGGAAAACCGTTTAGAAAGCTGGCGTCAGATCCCACATGTGTCAGTGTGCTTATTTGTGATTTATTTCATGTTGTTACAAACTACTCGGAAAGCAGAGATGTATTGTTGGGTGCTTTTGCTGCTGTCCGGCGATATCGAGCAGAATCCTGGCTCCTTGCCGAGGAGCAAGAACAAAAAATGTTTTTCTGTGATCATGCAAATCCCTCAGATGTTGCAGAAGCAGTCAGACATTCTTGATGAATTCGCACCCTACGCTGTGAGCAACAAAGCTATCAAACAAAGCGTATCTGATCTCGCGGCTAAGGTCGAGCGTGCTGAAGCCAGCGCATCATGTGTTCCGCTTTCGAAAGAAGAAGTAGGGAGCGTGACGGCTTGCGTTGAATCACTTGCTGCATCGTTGCCTCCATGCGCGAACGCCAAGACGATCTAGAAAATAGATCACGCCGAATAACTTGCTATGTTATGACCTTGATGATACCGCTGGTGAAACGTGGGCGGAATCTGAGGAACGAATTTTGACTTTTTGCTCGAAAAAACTAAGCGTTGATGCTTCTGTAACATCGATAGATGGGCTCTTTCTATCGCCCCAAGCCTGTGCACAGGCTTGGGACGTTTTTTCACAGCAAACAACAGGCCGATAATAGTGAAGTACGTGTAATTTAAAGAAAAACAACGGGTGCTTGCCGCTGCGCGAAAACTAAAGGGAACCGACTATTCTATCAGCGAAGATACTCTGAAAAGGTTAGATTGGAGCGTAAAAAGTTACTCCAGTTTGCTAGAGAACGCGGTGGTGATTTCAAGCTGAACTTCAATAAGCTCAAGATTGGCACACAAGTTTTTAGGTATGAGGTGGCTAGTGAAAGCGTGAAGTGCAATGTCCGATAGCCACGAATTCAACCTCTATCGCGCGAAAAGACAGATGCTGTAACGAAACTTAAAATAATTGTTGTAAATTGCCGTAGCCTCAAGAACAAAAGGAGGAGTTTGGTGCACTTGTTGAACTAGTAAAGCCACACGTCGTTGTGAGCACTGAGTCGTGGTTGGATGACACCATAACTGACAGCGAAATCTTTCCGCCGAACTATACGGCATATCGAAAAGATCGCAATGTGCATGGTGGGGGCGTTTTCGTCCTTGTCTAGCGCTATCAGTAGCGTGCCAATAAACCTAAATACCCCATCCTGCGAAACGGTCTGGTGTAAGGTTATCCTCGCTAAAGGCTCCGCAATGGCTATCGGGTCGTTTTACAGGCCACCTTCACAGAAAGGCCCCGAGTCATTGTTTCAGCTTAGCAATATATTACTAGCTCTAGATGCAACGCGTGTTATTTTGGCGGGCGATTTAATTTGCCAAACATCGAATGGGTCCATCTTCAGCGTAAATCTAACACGTCGTCGCTTCTGTACTCTGCTTTTTGTGAAATGATTAACGCTCATTCGCTATTTAAATTTGTATCTCGTCCTGCCAGACTAGGTTCCTCTTGCAATAATGTGCTTGATTTAATTTTTGCAATGACCAAACTCTAATCTCTTCTGTCACAACAATACCAGGTATAAGCGACCACGAAGTCGTTGTTGGAACATAAGTTGCGATATCGTGCGCCACCCGAATCCGTTACCGCGAAAAGTGTTATTATAATCGCGGTGATTATGTCTCTTTTTCCCGAGAGCTAGATCAGTTTTTTACCGGAGTCAGACAACATGCTACCAACCGGATTGAATACTACATGGAACTGCTCAAAACTAAGCTTTATCACTGATACGCACTAATGTTCCGTCACGGGTGCTTTCCTCTAAGCGTAGAACTAGTAAGCCCTGGTTGAACAGCAGCCTCAAGGCCTTGATTAATCGCAGGCACCACGTGTATCGAAAGTACCGCCAGACACCACAACGCGAGCTACATAAAACGTAAAAGAACTAACAAGAGTGTTGCCTAAACAGATGCGCTGTGCTGAACTTGAGCATCTGGGTCGCCTAACTGATAGGATCAAAATAACCCGAAAGAAGTATGGAAGTACGTTAAAAGCAAGCAGGCTGTGAAGGAAACGATTCCAGATGGTATAGATGACCTCAACTTCAGCGCAGACTTAAAGGGCAAGCTGAGAGATTCAATTTTATTTTCAGTCAAACAATCAGTTTGCCTACCCAGCGGCCCTCAGTTAGTCAGAAAAAATTCAGAAATGATTGAAATATGTTTACTGAACGTGGAGTCTTAGCTCTGCTACAAAAAATTAAGGTAAATGCTGGCACCTGGTCCTGATGCTATTCCTAATTATGTTTTAAAAAACTGTGCTGCCTCACTTGTAACATTTCTAGTCTTGCTCTTCGAAAAATCAATGGCGCTTGGCTGTTTACCTGTAGACTGGAAAAGTGCCAACGTTGCCCCTATCTTCCTATCTTCAAAGCTGGAGACAAAACGCGAACAAAAAATTACAGACCGATCTCGCTAACTTGTGTAAAATGTAAATTGATGGAACACATTATCTATACCAATTTAATCTCCCATCTTCAAGATAATAACTTTTTCTGCACTACGCAACACGGTTTCAGAAAGGGTTGTCCTGCGATACTCAACTAATTGAATTTAGTCATGATATAGCTGCCCGTGATCGACAATGAATGCCACGTGGACTGTGTATTTTTATATTTTCCAAAAGCCTTTGATTCTGTATCACACAATTTATTATTACTTAAACTGTCTGCTCTAATATCCCTCCCTCTTTGTTGAAGTGGCTTGAAGCGTATCTTGTTGCTAGAAAACAGCGGGTTGTTCTCGAGGGAGTGAATTCATCCGAAGTCGATGTCTTATCAGGGGTCCCCAGGGATCTGTTTGGGACCCCTTCTTTTTTTGATATTTATAAATGATATAACCCAACAAGTATCCAGCCGCATGCGCATGTATGCAGATGACTGCTGCATATATCGTGACGTTACGTCTGCTCAAGATTCTGCTCAACTACAAAGTGATCTAAATGCTGTGTTATCATGGTGCACCACATGGAACATGGACACTTAACTTTTCAAAATGTAATACCGTTCGCTTCACAAACAAAAAGAACATTCTAAATACGAATTACTTTCTGGAGACAATCGTTTGGAAGTTGTGTCTAAATATAAGTACCTAGGCGTTTTCTTTACGAGCAACCTATCTGGAACGACCACATTGAATACGTCGGTGCTAAAGCGAGCCGTGTATTGAACTTCCTGAAGCGTATCTTTAAACAGGCCCCACCTAAACTAAAGGAAACGCTCTATCTTTCTAACGTTCGCTCAATTTTAGAGTACAGTTGTGTGGCTTGGGATCCAGACACTAAATATGTACTAATGCGCTAGAAAGGATTCAGAAACAAGCAGCGCGTTTTGTGTCTGGTAACTATGATTTCACTAACCGCTCTTCGTGTATTCGTAAACATTTGGGTTGGCCTCTCCTACAGGACAGGCGCAAATTCTTAAGATTAAATCTATTTCATAATATTTATATTGGTAGCACTGGTTTAAATAAAGACGTGTACATTAAAGGTCCCACTTATGTATCCTCTCGCCTAGATCACTCCCGCAAAGTTCGCGAATACCGATGTCGCATAAATACCTTACAAAAACTCCTTCTTCCCGAAAACCACTCACGAATGAAACAACCTACCAAAATATATTGTATCCACCCGCCACCCTCATTTCAAAATGCTCTGTCACAATTTTTTTGTTGAAATGAAAGATGCCGATTCTGTCTGCATTTCTATTTGTGTTTTACTTTTCCTTGATTGCCTCGTGTTCCCGAGAATGTGTACACACTGTATAAGCTGAGCATGCTTACTTGTTTTGTTATCGGTATTCATACCCTGTATCAATTTCAAGTTTTATGTCTCCCCCCCCCCCCCCCCTAATGTAATGCCCAAATAGGGCGCTGTAGGGTATTCGAATAAATAAAAATAAATAAATAACAAGCACATTGTGTGAATTATCTTGTTGCCATGTGGGGCCCCTTCTAGAGCACAGTTACGTTTACTCGCCAAATTCGGCGGGAACCTTGGTCTAGAGTCCACAATATATGTTGACGAGGGCAGTTCACGGTTAGTAGCTGGTTACCGTGTAGTGTTGGAGGGTCACGCTTTCTAAAGCATGGGTGCTTCCGCCCCCTTTATCCACGGTCTTGGGGCAGATAGTAACACCTTCTTTAATTGTTACGACTGTAGACCTGACTACCATTTGCTGCCGAGCAAGATACCTGTCTCAAACAACCATTATAAATAGGGACTTCAGTTGTTTCAAAATTAATTCTGGTTCACGAAGTAAATTATTTACAAAGTAGTATCATACCGTTGGTTGCGTAGGTGCATTCTTTTTATTCACTGTCGATATTCATATGAAATTTTGTGCTCCTCAATACAGGCTTGTTACTTGCAGGCCAGAAAAGCTGCTCTTACAGCTTTGGCTGTTAATGTGTTCGGCGTTTCGTGCAGGCCTGGAGTATTTTTTTTTTCATTATTTACGACCACAGGATGTGTAATGATGCCTCACAACTAATAGAGCGAGATATTATTCAGTGAGTTAGACGCAGATGGGCTGTGTGCGTGATGCGCGTTTTAACACTTTTGCATTGCGTTGGTTTATTTTTCTGCGTCGTAACGCGACCATACAATTTGTTAGTCCTCCTTGCGTAACAAAAAAGTACTTACTCTTTGACACGGACGCGTCGTTACTTTCTTTCACAGTGGTCATTTTGGTCACTTGACTCTCCGGACCGATTTGCGGTGGCGGTGTCCGTGCATGAGGGTGCACAATTTCAATGTGTTCACGTTCAGCTAAAAAAAAAAACCAATCAATATGAATTAGTCCCGAACCACAGTGCAGTGTGTTGAACAGCATGGAAACACAGTGGTTTGAAAACCATTCTCGTTTATTTCAGTCTGCTGCCGGTTAATGCACCCCACTATCCATAACTTCTCGCCGTCATACTATTCTAAACAGCAATATTTTAATGTGCAAAAGTGCGAATAATGCTGTATAGCAAATAACACCACAGATGTGATCATACCATTGGTTGCGTAGATGCATTCTTTTTATTCACTGTCGATATTTCATATGAAATTTTGTGCTCCTAAATACAGGATATCACTGCTGAACAATAGTTTGAAAGATATGGTAATAAATAGGTTCTGGCGTTTTCATCTGCTTATGCAGCAATTCAATTGTTCGCATGTGTTATACAGCAGTATGATGCAGCAATGCGTCAAGCAATAAATGGTAGCTCTCGAAAATTTTCGCCCTCCGGGAATTTCGACTCATTGTCATCATTGTAGTAGGGAATGTTTGGATTTTAAGCTTAATTATACAAAGGCAGCTATAGCTGGGAATAAGAACTGTGTGCTTTACCAGACACAACAAAAAGGCAGCAAAACACTGCCATTTTTATGCTACCAAGATTCGCTACCGTCACTGTAAGCTGTATGTACTACAAATACAACGAACATTTATTTGCAGATTTCAGATACGTGTTGATTCCTGACATGCGAATAATTAGCAAAACACTAGCTGGCTATTAGAGTTTGCAGTTATTCAGCCGTTGTCCATAATTCAATCCATCATACCTCGTGAATCTCGCTGTCTCTTTGTGGATATGTGCACGCATACGAGCATGTGTGTGGGCATGTGCGTGAGCGCATAGCGCGTGCTCAAACAATGAACAATTGGACATTTAACTTAGTTTCGCCAATTATTACTCTTATTGATGTCCCTAGTTCATGTAGTAGCACTGCCGTGGCGCAGAAAGTACTCACGATTACAGTGAGCAGTTTCCTTATTTTTAATTATAAACGGGCTCATTTATTGGTGCATCCTGTGTTAATTGACGGTGTAACTAACCAATTATAGATAACAATAAAAAGCTAACAAAATATTGTAACAAGGATTTTTATTCATTTCTTATCTCGGTTATACCAAAGGCCCCAGATTAGAGGTTCTACATGAGGGTTGGTAAAAAAAAAACATTCGGCAGATCCCACGTACTTGGGAATCCACGTTATGCAAAGCATGTGGAGGAAAGGTGATCATGTTGCACTTTTTTTTTATTAAGCGACACGTTATGAATGAAATAACGCTAAATATATGCACAAATGTTGCACGCACAGACATATGTTGAAGAGTTGCAGGTGTTTACATAACCAGTTGTTTCCACTTGCACAACAATGTCAACGGAAACACGCGCATTAGCAACACCAGTGGCTGTTATGAAGCGCTGATGCTCGTGAAGATGCTGGGCCCGGACACTGCTACAAAATCAACTTCAGCACATGTCAACTAACCCCATCTGACGTTAACCCGACGTGATGGCTGTATCAAAATAGTACAAAAGTAATGTTTATAAAATTGAGTAGGCAGCACTGCAACCACTACCAACGTTTCGCAAAGATTAGCGTCTATTTGAAAAGTAGTTTCCAGACTTGGTGTAGCTTTGTGGTAAAATGATTCATTGGCACCCAGAATGCTTGGGTTTGATTCCAGCTGGGATTTGGGTCGACGCTACCGACGTCGGGTATTTTTAACAGTCGCGCGTTAAAATTGTCTACGTGTCTTCTCGTCGTTTCTGGGTAGATACCAAGTACTATTCACCTGTGGCACGAACCCGCATAGACAGACAGACAGACAGACAGACAGACAGACAGACAGACAGACAGACAGACAGACAGACAGACAGACAGACAGACAGACAGACAGACAGACAGACAGACAGACAGACAGACAGACAGACAGATAGATAGATAGATAGATAGATAGATAGATAGATAGATAGATAGATACGCTCCAAACCGCCAAAATTCGCTAAGAAATGCTTCGCATTTAAAAATTAACATAACAAATGTTTGACAACTTTTTCTTTGAAATGTACCAAGCTGCAGGAGTGCACGGTACCAGCTCAAATAGAACATAGTGGTAAAGACAGGTGTAACTGAAACGTCTCTTTTTCTAACCAGTTATGCACCAAACGACACCATGTTCTGTATTTTAACTACATAAAGTGATAGAAATTATTTTTACACGCAGGTAAGAATTTAGTGACCTTGGCAAAGACCAAGCGCCACCAGTTTCATTCTCATGTATTGATGTTACATACAATTGCTGTGGAGATAGAATCACTTGGTTCGTACCCCGCCGCACCAGGTTGCTCCGGTAGCCGAACATTATCCAGAGTATCCACAGAAGCAAGAGGGCCGCCAGGAGCAACTTGCTCTTTCGTGTTGATTGTCCACACATGCACGATCAATGAGAATGCCCATAAGTCCGACGCAGCTGCCCCAGAATAAGTGCGGCAAAATACATAACTGCAAAATCTGTGAACGTTTGCATTCCAAAGTCATGTTGCGGTAGACTTGTCGATAGGATAAGTTGCCGCCACTCCTATGTGTACCTAGATTCTGTGACGCTAATCGGCGTTTCCTACCTTTAGAGTAAGCACATGTCACACGCTTGAAGAAAATGGTACAGAGAACCTTATCAACATTCAGAAAAAATCTTTTTCTGAGTACTAATTAATGGTCCGAAAAAATTCTCGTAAGAGAAAGTTTAGACCACTTTTTATACCAAGAATATCATAAGATAAGGCAGCTCGACATTGACAAAACAAAACCCCTTGCTTAAGAAGCTTTCTCCAACAAAGGCCATGGGTTAATATTACAAGCCATTGCGTCAAAATTAATCAAGCGCACCTCAGGCGAAAACAAAATCGAAGCAAAGGTGACAAAATGCTTAATCGCAACTGCCAAAATTATGCAAGAGTGAGAGAGAGAGACTGAAAACATTTATAGCGTAAAGCTTGTGAGTAAAGGTGGGAAGGTCCGTTATTTCAGGATCCCTCTGGTCTGGATCACCCGCCGCGCTCATGCGAAGGGTTGATGCTAGTCCACCAGGTCCGGCTGGGAAATCGCAGCCTCCAAAACTTAACTGTCTAGGCTTGAATCAGCATCTCTTGCGGTGGCTTGTAGCCTTGGGACGCTTACTTTGCATTCCAAAAGGATGCGCGCGTAAAATTCTGCCACATTGCAGTGAGGGCTGATGTAGCTATGCAACGTTGACCTAATATGGTGCAATAGTACGCCGTGGGTTAAGATGTTGCTTTAAAGGCGCCTGTAGGCGGCGCCTTTGTCTCTGATGAGTTTTGGATGCGGCGGAGTGTATGACCTGTGTTCGAGTCGATAATGTTGCAGTAATGTACTAGTTAGTGGTATGGATTCTCTTGCTTTTGCTTGTGTCGTTGCGTGGGAAGGGCATCGGATCTCGTGCGGGAACGCCTGGTTGACGCGTTCGTGGGCCACGGTGACTGCCACTTGATTTCCCTGAGGACTTTCGTGACCCCGAATACACAATATTCTTGTGCAGGGGGGAGAAGTGTCCGAGCATTTAACACCTCAATCACGACCATCGAGACCCTGCCTTTCAAGTAGTTCTGTGCCACTGTTTGTTAAGCGTAAAACTATAATGTGCTGGTTCATACGTGCTAAGGGAAAAATTACTTCATTTTACCTGACAGGTTAAACATACTTGAAAAATGCATAAATGCAGTTTCGCATGCCATCTGGGACATAATCAGTGTGTACATGTGGAATTTAGTAGTGTGTTTTATCAGAAAATTAGTGCGCTTTTCAGTTTTTCCGTACGTTTTTATTTGTGGGTGAATACATATGCAAGCAAAGTTTAAAAATTCTGGAGAGAGTTTAAACAGCTCCCCCCCCCCCCCGTTTCTTGGCTACGTCACTGCATATTCTTAAGTTATAAGAGCATTAATCAAGAACGAAAAAAGAAGAAATGGGCAAGAACCTGCGTTACATAAAGGTTCCTTTCGCCTACACTCACGTACCAACTCCAACATGTCAAATTTGATCAAACAGGAAGTCATCTGGTTATGAACCGGCAACTGGCAAAGAAGTTTTGTAAACTTGGTTTATCGGTGATAATAATTGAAACGCTTGTTTAACTCAAACAATCGTACTGATATTCAAAACAGTGCTCTACAAGGCTTTTGCGCAAGTGGTGGTAACTAATGAGCCTATGCTATGAGTGCCGCGTGACGGCGTCTATTTACTGCAACAGAAACGTACAATTTGTGTGTAACGAATTATGTCGAGCTCTAATTTTTTTCGGTTCATAGGTGTCAGTGTTCAAACACACATGTATTTACTGGTTTTCATCAGTAGCACTTAAGGATAAACAATTTTACAAGTAATTCTAGCATTTCACAAAGAAATTAGGAGAGCATAACGAATCTCTTGGGGTCGTTAGTTCATCTTACACCGTAAATGTAACAATGTGATTCTGATTGGTGCAATCTCTTGCCTCGAAAAGTAGCCTATATTTCATGTACAATAGAATACGTTGTAAAATGAACGATAGCTATTTTTGTAGTCTTTACTGATCAGAAGAACCCATGGCAGATATGCTAGAGTACCACTTTTCACACATATTATACACAAATTAAAGGACAAAGGCGAGCCAACTATTTATAGCCAGAAATGAAATACGCAGCTTTTTTAGCTTTACAGGTCCTTGTCATCTTAGGCGGCGTATCCTAGTTTAGAGCTGAATTAGTGGGAATTCTTCACTGCTACCACCTCTCTGCTTCCGTGTTCTTGGTGTCGTGTGCGTGAGATTTGTTTGAGATCAAGAGTGCACGTATGAACCCAAGCTGTTTCCAATGCAGCGATTGAATCTAGTATGACATTTCGGTGTATACACGTTGCCCCGTTGTTGCACTAGTATAAGCACCGAAATGAAGTGCATCAATTATTTATCGGACACCGAATCACGATAGGGACGAAGTCATGAGATTCATTTTAGCGTAACATAATCAATAGGCTCTTTTGTATTCTGGTGGTGGTATTAACCCAACAAAAGACAGTCAGTTCCGCCTGAAACATATCCTGCGCGCAGATATACGCTAACCCTACTGCATTTCTTCATATGCCAGTAGCTTTCATTGTATAGTTGCAGCTGCTTGATGTCCCGAGGTCACAAATTTTAGAAACACAAAGCTAGGTTAATTTTTTGATAACTCACAGCGCAAGAAGGACGAGGACGAAAGATAAGACAACACGAGCGCTGACTCCTAACTAAAGTTTATCAAGAGGAATGTCATGAATTTATACACAGGTCAACCGGCTTTGACAGAGCAACTGCGCATGTGAAGCAAAATTTTGGCTTAGCTTTGGGTGTACTTTGCGAGAACAAAATAACATTGGTGAGTATAGAGAGATGACGGCTCTACACCTTCTAACGTGTTGTCTACGCCTTGAAGTAACCAATCTTTGTCGGAGTTGCATGTGCCACAATCCCAACCTGATTGTGAGACGCGCTGGTGGAGGACTCCCGAAATTTCGACCACGAGGAATGCTTTAACGTGCCTCTAAATATATGCTCACATGCCTCAAGCATTTTGTCTTGATTGAAGTGCCTACGCCATGGCACGAATTTGATCCTGTGACTTCTCAGTTTGCATACAAGCCCCATAACAAGTAAAACTTGGTAGCACGTTCACGAAGTAATAAGACTTCGCTTCAAACCAATGGCGCAGCCTTGATATGCGTTCGTGATGAGCACGAATGGGATTCATGCACCATATAAACATCACATTTCAATCTCCCTGTACTCAAATCAGGCATCTCATTTATTTCTGGTGACTTAATCACGCTTCCCGCTGGTAACCCAGCCTGATGATTTGCAATTCAGGTCCACATGAACCAAAACATCGAATACTCACAGTTGCTTCGAAATCGCCTGTGCTGCGTTTCTTTGCAGACATATTTCCGTCTTGCCTTGCAGCCTGTAATGCACATGTGTCGAAGACCTTTGTGTCTACACGGCGCTCACTCTGAACGCACACTTGTCTGCGTGGCGTCGAAATCTGAAAAGGGCGCGCAGTTGAGCACAATGGATCATCACTCACTCCTTACACGTCCACCGCGGCTTGTGTTTCCTGAATACAAGACATTGTTATGCGCCTGCTTAGCGAAAGGTGCAAGTTGAACTGAAGGCTGGTTCTATTTGCGAAGAAACTGCCACACTATCTGAAAGCGAGCAACTCTATCAACGACACACTTCAGAGGGACCATCAATGTAACTTTAGTTTGCACAGCGTTTAAAAACGAGAAAGGCCCCCTCTTTTATTTATGGTTAAGTGCACGGAACAACCACATGCACAAAAACGTGTTATGATAAATATTTTTTAGATAGTTCAGTCAATCGCGACGTGGGACGTAATATTAAAGCATGGTGACCAACAGGAAGACACACTTCCGAAGTATGTGTTTTTGTATTTGACTCATGGTTTTTTTCGGTGACACGGGGAGGCGGATAAAAAAGAAGTGTAAGAATTCATGTGGCGAAGCCGCGTTGGGATTGTAAAACCGGACGTTAGTAGTTTTACCACGTTGATTTTGACCACATTTTTGTAGTGTAACATGCACCAAAATTTAGGTTTTCTAAAACTGCGGCAAGTTTCTGCCACAAGAAAACACTGCGTCACCTATTTCTGCATAATGCTAATAAGGCTGCAGAGTCTGTGCGTCTGCATTTTCACATCCGTTTACCGCTACTATATCTAAATGAATATGTAGTAACATCCCCGTTTATTTTAACTCTGGTTTATCACATGCCAGAGTGCCAACGATGACCGATTCCGTTGTTCTTCACATTTTTATTAATTAAATATTGTCTTGTTGGTATTGCTCATGTAAAGCTCATTGTTATTAAGCTAGCGTCACATATGATCTACATGTCCTTGTTCTAAGCAGTGGCTATCGGTCATAGATGTTTCCATGACGAAGCTCAGATGAGTAACCTTTTGATCCTTTCACACTTCCATTTATTGAATATTTAATACTTCCATTAAATTTCTAGCTTAGTTTAGCTTCACAGACTGTTAGGCATTTTGCCACCTGCCTCTTGGCCCATTCGGAATGATGAGTGAGCGCCATGCAGTATGGGCATTCCGAGGAAGTTTTCTGATGACGTATGTGGGGTGGAACCACTCTGCCCTATATACAGACCTTGATCTGGGCGTGGCACCACGGTTGTTTCATAAGAAAAATCTCTCCAAACATGGCATGCGTATCCCCCTTTTAAGCTTCATGTTATAGACTCTGGAACACACTTGCCTATATGCATAGTCTCTCGCCTGTTTAAGGAGGAAGGCATGTGCGTTTATTTGGCGTTTGTGTGTGCGGCGCGGCACAGTGTGTAAATCTTACCACAAGGTTAACTGGAACAAAACTAACTAGAACAAAATTCTACAAAAACGTAGAAACCCCAATTCAGGCATCGATAAATTTAGGCATATGAATGAAAAACGGTTTAAGAAAATGAGATGTCACATAATTTGGAGAGAGCAATATAAAACACATACCTGCAAAAACCCTTTATACAAGTTGGCAACTTGAGCGTACACCCTATGAACATTAGGACCTGGCTTTGTCGTCCACTTTCAGTGTCCGCTGTCAAAGTACGCATAAAAGCAATGGTATAGTCGAATCGTATGTGTTTATTTGAACAACAGAGAGGTTTGCGATAGACAAAAGTGAACCATAATTAAGACGAAACATAATAAAGCGCCTACAAGCTTAAAACCTCCCCATTACTCGGAGACTTCAACGTAGACATTATAGACCTTAGGACCTAGTTTTGTCGTCGACCATTAATGTCACCTAATCTATCTGACTGAATTTACATTATATGGGGCAACGCTCGCATGACGTACGGTTACTCAACCATACGATATCTAGAACTTTGCCCAATCGTCCCGACTCACATCGAGGAGATCCCTGTATTTTTGCTTTCTGCTTTTCATTTTTCTCTATTTCTATTCTGCTTCCCTTTTTCTTTCGCAGCTCAAGACTTTTTTTTAAGCGCAAGAACTTGATGCAGAGAAACAGATGAATTTTTCTTACCACTGCAGAACCAATTTGCTCGCTCATGTCCGGCCTGCTCTTCGCTACCACGTGCGCCTATACCCTATTTCGTTAACACCAGTACGCAAGCGACGCCCAAAGATCATAGCATAGGTGTCAGGTGGCCACTCACAGTTTTTGTAATCCCAGCATACAGGACACTTAAGCGCAAATGGCGTCATATTTATGGCAATCAGTCAATAGGAAATGGGCAATAGCCCCATCGCCGTGTGCATGCAATCCGCAACCGTAGGCACAGGTGGGCGAGAAGTGCAGAAAAGCGTCATGATCGACACCAGCTTCTAACTTTCCTGAATTTTTCTCGACAACCATTGTTATTGTGACTTATTGTGCAAGTCGCTCATCTCGTATCGTATTGGTACATTATCTACGGGGAGAACACAAGGCTTGTCCTTGCTTTTGTTCTATTCGAGTTTCAGATTTGGGCGAGACGCACTTCTCTTTCAAATAGACTGTTCTGTTTCGACAATACACAGGGTCATACGTAGTGAGTTTCTCCCTGACAGAGGCCTCCCACGGCTCAAGGCATCTTAAAGAGGATCGACCAAAATCAAAGAGTGAGTCTTCAGTGCACTCGAAGTGCACAAACAGTGCACTTAGAGTGGTAGAGTATAACCTTGGACAGTGTCACACACCCAAGCTGGGGTATTAGTCAAGGAGCTATTGACCCAAAGAAACCGATTCGTTTTGAAGGTAGTTTTCTTCTTTCCCTCACAAAACAGAACCTCCTGCGCTTGGTTCGGTTCTTTCTTTGAGAGACGTGTTTTTCCCCCTTGGATGCTTCCTGGTCGAAATCCCGCATAATAGAGTCGCTGAATTCATCTGGTAGATGAGGGAAATATGCAGTAGTCATTTAAATGTTGGCGTATAGCTGTTGACGGCGATCGCATGGGCTGTGTCAACGATGGCTTCTGTAAAATCTTACCGTATTCAAAATAGAACGCACCTGACATGACTGGTATATTTGTAAGGCTATCAGAAAAATTGTGAAATCGGGAATTTTCGCTTCTGATGTCGACGTTTATTAATATTTTGATTGCTTTATTCAACTAGCCTTGCTTATGAACCTTGTTGGTATTATATAGTTTGTGTCGTTACCGGGCGATACCCATCTTCATGGTATTACTGATTTTTATGCCAAATATTGACGGTTTTTTTTCAGAACAGCTTCCGAAAAGTGCAAACCTTGTTATGAACGGCCGAATGCCATATTTATTGAGCACACTGCTCAGACATTTATTGTGATGAACTCGCGTGTCCACGCATGAACTAGTTTTGTTGATGTTGCTATTACACACTATGATGTGCCGTTTTAGACTCTCGCATAATGTTTGAAACTCTGTTCACCAATAAAATCATATGGAAGGTTTGTAGCAACAGTTTTCTTACCTGAGTGGTAAACTGAACCTAATGAATTAACAGAAATTTAGGACGTACTTATTCTTACCGCGTGCAGCAATAAAAACTGAATCTCTTGACGTTGAACTTATTATGGTATTGGCTCTTCTAACATTCACGCGCACTTTGCTCTCTTATCAATAGAGAAGAGTTCTATTTTGAAGTAAGCAATAGCCTAATGGTAACCCATTTCCACAAGTGGACATGTGCCACAGCCATTGATGTCACCACCATCATCGATACGCACACAAGCACAGCAAGATCCGGAACGTATGGGTGTTACCATGTCGGCGACTCGCAGCTCGGATTCGCTGTGCCACGGATCCACGTAAGTTGAACGAAACTACAGGATATACATTGTAATGTAAATCCTTCAACCATGCACCTTTGCTGAGTGACATTCACAGTAGACCTTTATCAGTAAGGCCTACTTCGACTGTAATTGTTATGACGTAGCGTTGTTTAGCGAAGGTTCCACGCAATGCTGTGATTTCTGTAACATCTTTGTAAGGGATTCGCTTTTGTACGTGGCCTCAAGCAGGGCCTCAATAGAGGAGCTTTTTGCCACATCGCTCTTGTGAACGGCGCCTTGGAAAAATAGATAACAGCTGCTTTTTGCCAACATTGTAACCGATAAAACGGTCGACAAATAATGACTTTTTGTGGACCTGGTTTGACATTTTTGGGATGGAACAGAATCTACCCAGAAGAAGTGTTGGATAGCTTTTACTGGTTGCTGGAATGAAGGACCTGCACTGCATATATATACGCCTCACTCACTGAATACTGTCATAGTGAGGCGCTCTCATAAATCTAGCCAGTGTGATGTATAGGCCGAAAACAGTAGGTGCCCCAGCAAACAATCGTGAAGTATCGCCACAAGTAAGATGCCACGGATAGCACCTTTTTTCGCGGAATCAACGGTGACAGCTGACATCATACATGAAATAAAATGAATATACATAAAGCAACAAAGGTAACGAGCATTTCCTAGAAATTAGATTGCGAATGCTGGTATTTTTTATCTTTTTCTGGTGGTGATACCATACGGTAGTACTCATAGTTTATGTTTAGTTTGCATATTGAATTTGTGAGAGCAAATTTTTATCGCAGTAAGCTTGAACGTCCTTTCGCTTTCAACGCCTATTTTGTGACTGCTTTTTATGTATTCCCAGTGGAAGTTCGAACAATAAAAAACCGTCAGGTTCACCAAAATCTAACTGTAGATGTAACAGTCTTTTTCTGCCTACCAATGGCCCCACGCTTTATTTTTGTCCACGTATGTGTCAGGTCATAAATTGAAATAATTGAAGTCTATTGTTGATTTCTACCTTTCTTAATTCTATAGACCGAGAAAGCCAGCTCAGACTTCGTAAAGAATGTCCTCGTGTGGAGTCACTACGACATGGTACATAAGAGAATTGACCACATCATAGGACCTGATTATTACAAAACAGCGGAGGACGTACCTTTTACAAAACGTGTCTTTAAACAATGC